TCATCAATCATCTAGCAGTTTATAATAGCAGAAAGTAAACGTGCGAGAAATTAAAGTCCTAACTATTACAAGGCTTTGGGAAGGGGTTACATAACCAAACTTGGGGAATATGCAGTAAATAAAAAGTGGTAAACAAAACCTAATTTAAAACTATTACAAACTCCATGCAGATACAATAATTGGAAAATAAAGTGAAAATAAATAAGCGCGCGAAAGTTAAGACGGGAACAAATTAGAAGCCTAAGAAATCTAATTAATTAAAAAATATTTTTGTGTATTTTTTATTGAGAAAATAATTAAATTGCAAATTAAACCTAATTTCTAGTTAATTTTAATTAATAAAAAAAACAATCAAGTTAACCTAATTAGACTAATTTATTTTCAATAAAATTAATTTTAAAAAAAATTCTACATTTTTGTGATTTTATATTTCATGATTAATAAAAAAAATGATTTATTTTAAGAAATATAAAAATAATTAAAGCAAATAAAAAAATTTATGAAATCAAAAACAAAAAAGAAAAAGAAATGGGCCTGCTGATGCTGTTAGTAATCTGGGGGGGGGTTGCAGCTGCTTTTTTGTACTAGGCCCAAGATTCATAAGCCCATTCACTTGTTTGATTCAGTACAATCAGATTTGGAATGTCCACCATGCGCTGCACTCACTGAGGTTGGATCTGGATCCAAGGATGATCCAATGGTTGGATCTAGAGGATGCAAGGTGGACCTCATGGGTAACACGCACTGAATCCTATAAAGAAATAATGGAAAAAACAAAATGCTTAGACCTGGGATCGAACCCAGGTCCCTTCTCTCACCAGCATTACCTTTTGCCATTCGTGCTACATGACTCTTCTGTTAACATAATAAACAAATAACAATGTAATGTAAACCAGGTGGCATGCCCCAAAATAAAACGCGCCAACATTCAAACCGGCCAGTAGGACGTTGCCACATCATTGTCTTATTCCTCGGACTATCGTTTTAGGCCTGAACTTTTACCTACAGACGATGTCTATAGCTATAACCTTGCATCATTCAAAAATTAAATACAAGCAACATAAATCTTAATAGAGACCATGAATCAACTGGGCTTGAAGCCTTGAACACCATGGTACCCATATCTAACCCTAATTTTGCCTGTATCAGGAAGCCCTAAAACGAGCTTGGAAACCCTAAGAATGACATCCTTCGATTCCTGCACTTAAAACTCAATCAAACAATTCAGAAAGCCTCGAAACCTTATAATAAACAAGAATGCATGGTTAAATTTCACTGAAAACGCATGTATGCATGTAATCGAAAATAAAAAGAAAGTTGGAAAATCGAATCCTGTATCTTACGATTCTGGATGTTTTGTGACTTGAGAATGATTGGACTAGCTTCACAACACGTCCAGGAACGGATTGCTGACTTTGAAATTGCTTGAATTGGTCTGTAGAGAAAGATCTGATCTACACTTTTCTTTGAAAATTTGGAACTTTGTTTGAATCCTTCAAGCAGGTTGCGCGTCTGTGTTCTTTCCTTAGGGTTGGAGAGCCTTTGCTTATGTATGAGAATCAAATTAGGGTAACATTTGTGGAAGGAATCCAAAGAATAATTGAGTTTTAATTTTGCTTCAAATCTTTCCATTTTTGCATATTTTCTTTCCCATTCCAAGCTTGCACGATTTCCTTGCCATGTGACAGCATATTTTGTTCCACATTTAATGAAAATAAAATTTCAAATTAAACTTAACATTATTTCCATCATTTACTTATTTAATTTTGATTTTTAATGAATAAAATATCAAAGTAAATAGAATAAATGATATAATAATGCATGTGTGGGCTTATGGGTCGTGGACCATATTAGGAACAAGATTAAAACTTGAAAATATAGGCCCATTTGGAGAAAATTCAAATTTGGTCAATTTTGGCTTTATGCAATTTTCCAAAAAATGGTCAACTTTGACAATGCACGTCTCCCTAAATTTTAAACCTAAGAGATTGTTCTTAGACTTTTTAGAAAGCTTAGGATGTCCCCTAAACAACCCTTTTAGCTTCATCTCAATTGGATCTTCCATGTTAATGTAAGAAGCTTTGACCCAAAATGTGTTTTTGTTGACTTTTTAGAAGGACCTATAATGTATGAATTTATATCTTTTCATGAGTTCATTTATTGAACTTGAGGGATGAGGATGAGTTTTAGGGAATTGAATTATCTTCAAAATGAGCCTTGGATGGGAAATTTATGATAAAGTATGAGAAAGTTATGCCTGATCAAAGTTTGGTTGACTTTTCCTATAGAAACCCTAATTTAGCAACTTTTGAGTTTTGATGAATTTTGGACATTCCTTGAGGAATCATGATCAACCCTTGATCAAATGATGGATGTTACTCCAAAATGTTTATGTTGACCAAAAATCTTGAAGTTTTACTGTACGTAGCCCATAGTTGACTTTTGACCTAGCACAATTGATTTTCATGCATTTGAGCAGTTGATTGAGCAAACTTCTAGTGAAAGGCATGAAACTTGGTATGGATTATCTTGAGAACATATTAGGACCATGGAAAATATTTGAGGCTTTTGGAGCTCACCCATCTTGATGAAAATGGAAACCCTAATTGGAGATTCATTACTTTAGGAGAGAGTTTGTCTGGTCAACCCTTGGGCATCCTTAAGCAGATTGAGGGCTTCAATGAGTATATGTTGGGTGATATGAGAGGGAAAATTTTGGGGTACAACAGGAGGTCTGTTGGAAGTGGTGTAGCGGCAAGTAACAAAAGTTTTGGAAATATTTACCCGGGAATTTATCGTGTCTACAGAGATTGGCTATTGAATTGTCGTTCAACAAATCTCTCGTTAATGAGTTTGGGGATAAATGAGTTTGTAAAGAAAATGTTATCAACAGAAAATAAAGGTAAACAAAAGTAAAAACTAAAGAAGAACTTATCAAGCCTGCATATAATCTACTCATCACATACTTAAATCTACCGACCAATTACATTCAACCTAACAATATTCATCAATGTCACTACGTATTACTCACAATCTAAGTCATTTCTAACCCAAATCGAGAGACCGAATGTATCCACAAGGAAATGATCTCGCTACCTCCTTAACAACACATAAGACAACTATGTAATCGCACTAACGATCTCTCAGCAAAACACAACCACACAGAGGCATTAAGTTTTGATATCCAAGTAGATGTCAGCTCTAAATCTATCTCTAGAGTTCAGAAACTAACATATAATAAATCTAAGCAGTATATGTCTATAACAACTTAAATCCCTAGTACTGAACAAAAATCTAAGACAACAATCCACAAAGATTTGTAAAGAAAGTTTTATATAACACCATGGGCGACAAATATACATAAGTTCAAAGTAAAATACATGTACAAACCCAACAAAAGAGAAATACATAGAGAGGATAAGAGATAAACCACAAATCTCCCGGTTTGTCAGTGCCGGTCAATGAGAAATCCACCTTCAATCATACATAAGCAAAGCCCTAGTGTTGTTATCTAAGTTAATCCACTACAAAAATGAGGTGGATGGAGTTAAGAGAACAAAAATCTCTCCCAAATAATTAGTTATATTTTATTATGTCAAATTAACAAAATTATCCAAATAATAAAATGGAATATATGTTCCATTTCGCCCCGCTTCACTCTATTCCATTAGGTTTCATTCTATTTCGTTTCGTTCTAGTCTATCAATCCAAAGCATAGCCTAAGAGTGAATTTGGATGAGATAATTAAATTTTTTTAAGGAATTTAAAATTGTAAACAATTCAAATGATTCAATGAAGTCTATTTATTTTTAAATTTATTTTGTTTGAATAGAGTATTATGATAAATTATTGTTAGATCTTTCGAGTTATTTTTATAAATTTTAAAGTTTTGGGCCAAGATTTAAATTTTTAAAAAGGGACCAATTTGCAAATTTTAATATTTATAGGAATTAATTTGAAAATTATTAATGGCTAATTTGCATTTTTTTTTGCAAATTTTAGGAGTCAATTTTTAAAAATTGAAAAATATAGGGACCAATTTGCAAAAGTTTAAAATATTAATATTAACCAATTTGTTATTAAAATTTTACTGTATGAGAGTAATTCAAAATTCTTTGATTTTAGGTGTTATTTCAAAATCACATAGATTTATATCATTTAAATTTTTTTCCATATTTTTATCCAAACAACACATTTTATTATCAAATATTTTCTCTTAAAAATATTAACCAAGTTGTTAGATTAATTATTATTGTGAACCTGAATAATCGATTTGAGCGTGATAAAGCTAATGATAAAATTAAAGATATGATCCGTAATTGAATAAATTTAAAAATCGAGGTTCCAAAACTCATCTGTCTCATACAAAAGAATTTTATTTAGTTGATTGGATTAAGGATTTGAATTGACAATTTCATTTTGGTTTTTAATTTCTCAAAATTTTTTGATCTCTATAATTTATTTGACTTAATTATTAGTGTTGTTGTTAATTTGTAGATGAGAAATGCCTTTAACACATTTTCTTTCTTTATATTTATACTCTCTTTTTTATCTAATGAATGAGATTGTTTCCTGCAAAAAAAAATATTTTATCCAAAAATAAATAGTAAAGTAACAACGCTAGCACAAGTATTTTCCTAATTAATTATAAATATGCATTAAAAAATAAAATAAAAAACACATTAAAAAATAAATAAATTCTATGAGGCTAAAAATGAAATGGGCTTGAAGGCCCATATTTCGAGTCCATAAAACCCAAACAACAAACATTAACCCTAACAATACAAATAGACCACGACTCTCACTTTAACAATTTTCAAGCCGATAGCCGCACCAGAACCAATTGAAGCCGAAAGGAAAAACCAAAATTCTTCATAATGGGTGAGTCGTTATTCTTGTCATCCTTCTCCGAAATTCTATAGAAACTGGTTTCGATTACAGTGTCTGTGAAAAGTTAACATGAACACGATGAGGTTAAATCGATATGCGTTTTGAATGCAGGTAAGGTTCACGGATCTTTGGCTCGTGCCGGAAAAGTGAGGGGGCAAACTCCTAAGGTTGCGAAGCAAGACAAGAAGAAGAAGCCACGCGGTCGTGCTCACAAGCGTATGCAATACAATCGCCGATTCGTCACCGCTGGTAATTTTTATTTTTGTGATTAATTGTTGCAATAAAGTTTGAAGATCGTGAATATGTTATTTTCGTATTTAATTTTTGTGAGGTTAGGGTTTTTGATTTTGTGTTTGATTTTTTTGGTTGTAGTTGTGGGATTCGGTAAGAAGCGTGGACCTAACTCATCTGAGAAGTGAGGATGATGCATAGTAGAAGTTTTTTCAATTAGTTTGAAGAGTATGTACTTTTTGTTTTTATTGATGAAAGAGTTTTGACTCTGGAATTATGGAATTTTTGACTATCTTTACATGAAAGATTTGTTACTTTTGTTCTAGAAAATTTCTGAATTCTGCAAAGTTTATTATTTATTGTGATGGTCTGTTTTTTAATTTGAAACTGGCGAGGCTAAGACTTAACTAATTTCTACTAAGTAGACCTTCAAGTGTTTCAGTGAGCTTCGAATGCCTCAACTTGTTAGCTGTGAACATCTATACTTATTTTGAAGTGACCTAGTTCCGATTCACCTGAACGTGTTATTGATATGTGAAATCCTCTTAGTTTGTATGTCTACCCATTAATGTAATCTTGGATGATTGAATATCTGCCAAGTCATTATCCTTCTTTTGCAATGCGTTCACTGCACCTAGTTAGTACTTTGTGTGCATATAATACCTGCATTGTTTTTGGAATAGGAATTGTTAGTACTTACTGTCTTGTCTTATATTAGGTGACGAGTTGTTATTGTAGCTTAACTGTCATTCCTATTCTTCCGGTGTTGTATCATTTGTGGATCCTAGTTGATCATAGCATATGTTCCTTGTCAAAGTAATCTAGTATTTTCGATACACTATTTTTGAAAATTCCTTTAATGTGTAGGCTATTGCAATGATCTTTTAGAACAAAAAACCAGTCAAGTATACTAGTTTTTGAAGTCAGTTATCTATTCAAGTGAGGTCAATTTGTTTTGCAGTCTTGTAATGAAACACTAATATCTACATTCTTTATCTTAAGAAATTTGGTTAGTTTATTATCTATCATAGATATGCAGCAACCTTCATTGAAAAAGTGAACGATGAAGTGATCAATATCAGACACATTCCTACTAGGCTGTTGTTTGGATGCTGTCTTCTACTCCCTCAGCCCATATGTTGTCTTCTACGCCCTCACCCCCTCACTACCGAATATCAATGTTTTTGGAATAATTGTTTTGAAGCATGCATTTTTATTTGAAAATTTTGTTATTTTTTAAAACACAACTCAACTAATTAAAGAAGATTTGAAAAAGGCCTAACTGTTATTTATCTCTACATTAATGCATGTTCATGGTTTGATAAATGAAATAATTGAACCTAATCCAAAAACCCTATAAGTCGTTCTACACAACCTTCCTTCAACAAAGAAGTGCTGTCTCCATTTTTACCCTTTTGGGCTACATTTTTTTTCTTTAGGTTAGTTTGGAATCTGTTCTATTTTTTAAATTTGAAATGAGTTTTTGATTTTTACTTGCCAGATCTTAATAAGTGCGAGTCTTGTTATTAAGGTTAAGCTAGTGTAAAAACATAAATAAAAAACTTGTTAGATTTTTTCCGAAATTTACATAGTTGGTATTTTGAAGGAAACTGTACATTTGTAATCACAGTTGAAACGTCGTGGTCAAATAGGATAAGGCTTAAGTAAATATCTCTTTTGACAGCCCTAAAACTTTACTTAACCAATTTTGGCAAAAACATCATTGAAAAATTGTTTTTTTTATAGTAGAATAAAAGAGACTCGTAATCTCTAAGCTATCAAATTAACTAGAAGATTTTTAGAATCAACTAGTAAAGGACCCTTGCAAAGTTGATATAAAAATTAAATAAATTTTATATGATTATGGTTAAGAAATTTATATAAAAATATTACGAATTAAGAGAAAAAATGTTTTAAAGTTGATTGTCATATAAATATTAATTTAATTTATAAGTCGTAGTAATTGTCAAGATATATTTAAAAATAATGTAAAAAATATGAGTATATGGTTTTGTATATATTATTTATCCGTGCATTCGTATGAATTGTGCAATATTGTTATAAATAATAAATAAATATAGTATAATGACGATTAAGAAATATATTATATAGAAGATATTATAAATTAAGTAGTGTTGATCCGTTAAAAATATATATTTTAGTATAAATATTAACATAAAATTAATATTTAAGTCAAATTTTATTTTTTCTGGTATCATGTTATAATATCATATATCATTTTTTATTAAAATATATGATATTTATTTTCTCTATTTATAAAAATATTTGTCTTAATAATACATAATATCTTAAAAAGTAGTACCTGTGTCAAAGTAAAATTATTATTCGGTTCATAACACAATTTTTTTCATATTATATTTTATCTAGGTGATTGCAATTTACCTATTGTTTAGGGTTAGGCTAACGTTTGACCCATCGTTGGACAAGCCTAATCCAGCATAACTGCTATGGTTCAATAGCATCCAGCCTAAATCATTAATCGATGGGGACGTTCCACGTGTCCACGAGGAAAACGTGACCAACAGCTATTCTAAACCGCCATCCTATCTATTGAGAATAACGAGTCCAACTTCTCTATTATCTCGGGGCAGTTGATCAAGGAGGAGGTCACATGTTGAACTCTATTACACACGTAACCCTGACAGTCTTCGTTATTGGGCCTAATTACTTGGCCTAATGCGTAGATCTTGGTCCAGTGCGGAGGGTTATAAATATCCTCTCATATGAGAGAGTCAGATATTTATTTATTCTACACACTTTCATTATTTACACTTACTCTAAACCTTTGGCATCATAGTGTCTTGCAGGTACCCTCCACTTTACTTCAACAATCATCTAGTTCCAGCTTGTGCGCCATCGACGATCCCTTCTAATCAGGTACAATCAGTGGCACAACTGTGGGAACTTGCATCCTCATCTTTTATTAACTGAAGATCAAAACAAACTTTCAACCTTCTGATCGTCATGGTCGCTCAAGTTAACAATGATGATCCGAACGTTCATATCGTCGAGTTTGGCAACAACAACAACTTTGCCGACCACGAGCTCGACGTCAGGGACAGAAGAACCGCTTCTTCCTCCACTCCAACACATCCTCTCGATCGGCCTCCCCGACACAACTACGAACCTACAATGTACGAGGAAATATCCGTGCCAGAGAATGCTGACCCTACGACCAAAGCCCTGTTTGCGGCAATCAACAAGACTAATTACATGATCTTTGGGCAAGGAGAACGCCTTGGAATCCTAGAAACCCGCAGGTCCTCGAAAAGATACAAGAGGCCTAACTCGTGCATCCCATCTCCTTGACGACAAAAGTCCCGTTCGCGATCTCCTCCGCAGAGACACCAACAGGGAGATTATTGCAGTCCTTCTCCCCTTCGTACCAGACGATGCCCCAGACTGAAAAGGACCTAACAAGAAATTGTCAAGAAGCGTGACCGTACTCCTCCGCGCAAAAAACAACGTTCCCCAACTCCTGAAAAGGGCAAGAGGAAATAAGAAAAGAAAACTCGGTTGAGGAGTCATCCTCGCTATAAAAGACGCCGTTACAACTTCTCCCCATCTCGGTCCCCAAAATTGGAGAGCGATGAAGATGATCCCCGCAGTCAGCTATCCCAAGGTATTACAGAGGCTTCTATCCCTAAGGAATGAAGATACCTCCACCTCTGAACAACTACGATGGCTCGATGAATCCTGACGACCATGTCGACGCCTTCGAGGCGATGCTTCAATTCCACAATATTGAGGGTGCCATCAAGTGCAGGTTATTCCCCACGACTTTGAGAAATACTGCTATGGACTGGTACAAAGGCCTTGCCCTGAATCTATTACTTCCTAGAGAAATATGAAGAGCTAGTTTTCCAGCAGCTTTATCGCTTCTCGACGTCACCCTAAGACTGAGGCTTCCCTCGAAGCGATCATCCATGGAACTGACGAATCTTTCAGAGCATACATTGACCGGTTCAACCGCGAGTTCATTCAGGTCCCCACCACCAACCATATGAAGAGGTATTTGCTCAAGAAAGGCCTTCTCTTGGGCAGCGATTTTCATAAGGCAGTTGGCATCGAATCCCTAAGGTCATTCAATCATCTCCTCCATAAAGTCTAGCTTACATCATGTACGAAGCGAATGAGGCTGCCAATAATGTTCGTGACTCTAGGAACTGCGGAGCACCCAGTGCCCTGAGGCACAACGATGCATGACCATCTTGACGACCCTTGTATAAGAGAAGGGATGAAAATCCTAGCGACCCTTGCGAGCATAGAGGACCAGTCGAGCACTTTATCGAGTACAATCCTCTGACCGCTCCCCGCAAGCGCATCCTCGACGAGTGTGCTAATGTTGAATTCAGGTACGGCGGAGTCCGTCGACCTAAGCTCGGGGTCAACAGGACCAAATACTCTTAGTACCACTGGAGTCACAACCATGTTACCCAGACCGCATCCATCTGAAGGATGTCATTGAGACCCTCGTTAAGGCGGGGAGACTCAGGCAGTAAAAGAAGAACGACGCCCCTCGCCGTAACACTCGCGGGGTGAAAGAGATCGAGGGGGATGCATGTAACACCCTATTTCCCCGTTGGTAATTTATATAAAATTAGAGTAAATTAATTTCTAAAATACAACATCAAAATAGGATGTCACATGCTTCATACATCATACATGCTCATTAATTAAGATACGTAACGCGAAATCATAAACTTCAACGCATTTACTCGCAGCGGCAAAACATCAATAAATAGTCATCTCAATTCTCCAACCGGAGTTATAATTATTATCTTCCAAAACATCGACATAATCATAAGGTAATTCAAACAACGGGGTAATACAAGTTCACTCTTAACAAAACAATTCGCACAAAACCCCCAAGTTTTACGTATCAGAGCAGAACTGACTCAATCTACCCAACTGAAGGAACTCCTCAGCTAAACTTCGATCTCTAACTACTTTGGATCATCTGCACGTTACCCACATGAAGGTAACATTCAAACAAAAAGGGTGAGATATCATAACAATATAAGAGGAAACATAATAATGAATAGGTAGAGATTCAAGTACACAATTAACACATAACATCCATTATAATATAATACAAACTTTCATCAGTATTCACCCATCGAATTATCAATCACAATATGATGCAAAAGACCGATACTGACTCAAT